ACAGAATAAGAGTTATTTCTGATGATTCCTTTTCTTCATACACAAGAATATTGCAGATTTTTGTTTTTTTTTTCATTTTTTTATTTTTCAGAATATGAAGGAGGTCCTTACAACAGCTGAGAGAGAAGCAGTGTGTGATGATGAGCTAATTCACCTTTTAATGACATTTGAAGCCTGGCAACCTTACCAAGAATTAGGATCTCTTGCTTTCAGTCATTGCCATGACACTGATTTCTGTGACATTTTTATGTTGAAATTACTGGAGCTGCAGTGGATCATTCTTCATCTACAATCTCATTACAGTTTCTGAGTAATACAATTTCTTTTACATCTGAAAGGTGATCTCTGAGATATGATATATTGCTGGGTGAGGAGGACAGAAAATTATTTCAGTTTCTTTGACTGTTTAGTCCCTCATCAACAGAAAAGTTCAATGTCTCTAGAAGTTGACCGGACCCACGCCTTTCCAATGATAGTTGGAAAATTGTTAATTTGCTCTTGGTTTTGAGATGTTAGACCACAAAATACAGTGCAGTGAGTAACTGGTAATGGTAATCACTTTGCAGACAGATTGACATTGTTGAAATTTGGTTTTTTTTTCCTGAGGTCTTCTTTTCTGTAAATTGATTAAATGTAGGCATCCATGTTTTATAAGTGGTTTTGTAATTGAAAATGAAAGAACGACTTTACCACTAACCATATCTGAGGTACTTTCTGATAATCTTGTATGTTTTAGGATTTCCACTATGACATATAAACAAATAGCAGTACCACTTTCCACCATGATTTCATGTTCCCTCTGTTTAATAAATTACTACTGCTTTTGTTCCAAACACTTCTAATTTGGATTACCCTTCTGATGGTATAAGGAACTTCGTCTTGCTATTTCTTTTTGAAATGTTAATGTAGTTTCTTAATTCTCTGGTTCAAAGCTATTACTGGTGATAGTTCTATTGGTGGAACTGTTTTCATCATAAGAAGCAGTCACAGTGGGAGGAAAAGCAAGAATAACAAAGGTAGTGGTGTCATCAGTGACCAGTGGCCAGTTTCTCACAAAAGAAGCCTTACCAAAGCAATGGTGAGCCTGCCCTTTATTTGATACAGTAGCATTGCTGGCTCTGAAGCTTCAAGACAGGTATGTGCTCTGCTGTACTTGTATGATCACTGTGACCAAGTGCAGGGTCACTTGCACTTGGATGGTCACATACACTTTGCTTGGATGCTTGCAGGAGAAGGTTCCATAAATTTAAACATAAAAATTCTGAATTGCTCTCTTTTTGCATGGCACTAGGTAAAGCCCAAAATAAAAAGGCATCTGTCCTACATCCAAAATTTTAATTACATGTACATTTGGCTAAACACTTTCCAAAGCTTGTCCCACTTATTTACTTCTTTGAACTCTTTTTAAAGGTAAAATAAACTAATAAAGCTATCCAGATGAATAGAAGATCCATGGAAAAAAGGGGGGAGGAATGTAAAAATACATGCATAACTTAAAAAATTACCTCAAACACTGAAAGATGTAATCTTTTTAGGGTAAGCATCACAGGCATGCTATTATCAGTGCTGGACTGATAACATGGGAATGAATGGGGGAAAGAGGCAGAGAGAGTTTAGGAAAAACAGAACAGGATAGTTTAAAAATAAAAGTAATGTCTTTGAATCTTTGGGACTGGTGACATCCTTCACAAAACAATATACACTGTAGATATTTTTTTTTAATTTAACTTTGCCAGTGTGTACCACAGGGATATTATTTAAATAATGCTTATTCTATAGACTCAAGATTTTTATCCGGATTAAAATAAATCCCAAATCCTGTTTATCCAGTCCATGAATAATCGTATGGAACTGTTTTTATCAAAATGCTTTCTGCAATGAAACGTGATCAAAGAGATGTAGAAATGAAGCAGAGTGGAACAAACGAAAAAATAAACAAGTTCTAGGCATATTTCACCTGAAGATCTTTAAAGCTAATTTGAAGTTCAGCCATTTCAAACAAGCACAAATTATTATTTTCTGTTTTTCCATAGAAAGTGTAGGACTTTGTTTAGGAAATCAAGTTTATTTAGTCTTAGTGCAGTATAATTCCTGAGGTCAAAAGGGTTTTGGGTTTTCTTTTTAGTAGTGTGGTTTTTTTGTTGTTGTTGTTGTTTGGTTGTTTTTGTGTTTGTTTGTTTTTTTTTGTTTGGGGGGCTGGTGTGGTTGTTTGGTTTTGTTTGGTTGATTTTGTTCATTTTTTTCCACTTATCCTGAATTCTTAGATTACTAATGATAATTAAAAGCATCTTTTGAAATGTATTTGCTAATATCATATATATATGTGTGTGTTATACATTGTATGTACATATATATATAAAATGTAAATTATCTGTGCATTTCATATTTCAAAGGAGAAAGAGGATTGAGTTTCTGATTTTTATTTGGATTTTAGTCATGAAATGAAAAAGAAAGACACTGGATCAAATTCTGCCTTCAGATATTTGAGAAAACTCCCAGTAAATATCGATAGGAGTCAAACATTTGTCTGAGGACAGTATTAGCCCTTTGGTGTGTAAATGCAAATATTTCATGCAAAATTAAGTTAACACCACATGCAAGTCCATTTCATATGCACATGGCTTATAGCCAAGAAAACTTCATTGCTGCTTGTGCTAACATGCATATATGCTTTGAAGTAAAAGCATTCACGCAAAGGAAAATGCAGAATGATCAGCATGGCAACTTTGTCAGAGTGGCATTCCTACAGAGCAACTAACTGACGCAAACCAATATGCACATGACCTTCTTTGGGCAGAGAAGCATGATTTGAGTTGTGGGGTAAAACAGTGATTAATAAATGTGGTTAGATTAGCATTTCTTAATGCCTAATTTTTAGTGACCATTTTGCCCCACATCTGATTCTACTTGGAATATTTCCCTTTGCTATCTACCCCTTCATCATGCAAAAAGTTACAGTTGAAACTAGAAAAGCATTGAACAAGCTCTAAACCCGACAGATAACATGGATATACTCCACACTTTATACTGGAATTAAATTTGATATAAATACCTCCTGCTCTTACCAGTGGGTGGTGTTATTCCATGTATTTAGGTATGAAGCAGACAGGAAAGAGATAAATCTTTCATAAGTACAACATATATCACATAATTCTTATATTATCCTTGCACTAGATGTAATATATTCAACTCACTTTTAAAGAAAATTGACTGCCATAAAATTGAGGGATAGAATTGTGAAAAGAATAAGAAATAAAATATAACAAAGCAAGATACTAGATTTTTTCACATTTTATTTAAAACAAAGCCTCTGTACTTCCTCACAATCAGATTGCAGAATGTGAGCTGTTTAATCCATTTAGTTAGTATTTCACATTTATTACAAGTCCAAGACTACTTCCAGTACACCAATTCCTTCATTACACAAAATTTAACCTGACAACATCAAGTTTTAGTTAGTAGTTCATATGAAACAGGTGTTCTTAGTACATCCATTAGTGGTAATGAATTAGTCATGGCGTAAATGATTCTGTAATATCTTCAGAAATAATTCCATGAGCTACTTTAGGCTTAGGCTGCACCCACCCCGCAGCTTAAGGGCCTGATCCTGCAAAGTGCTGAGTACCCCACAATCCCATTGCCATCACAGGAAATTAGGCCCATTCAGTGCCACACAAGATGAAGCTACTGATGCTGCCTTCCACTGCAGTAATCCCCAGCAGAGGTCTGTGCAAGTATCCTTGTCATGCACTGGGCATAATATCCCTCTGGAGGGGACACTCACGGAAGTGAGATGTGAAGCCCAATATATTTAATTTCCTGTCTTAGTTTTAAGATCTGCTTTACTTAATGGTAACCATTAACAGTCAGGCTGTCAGTGATTCAGCTTTATAAAAGCTTTTAATCAAGGCCATTGTTTCTGCTCACTGCATGAAAGCGTACCACTCTGACAGTCATTCACAAATATATGTATAGATACCACATGGAAGATGTCTCAATTTATGTCAAAATTTTTGAGGTTGATTTCTAGTTAAATTATTACAAAAATGTATACATTTTCTTGTTCTTGCCAGCTTTATGGAGAGCTCTGCAAAGTCTCTATAACTGAGAATAGCTCTGGAAAGCATCCCACTAGAGACACAGATTCACAGATCCTTAAGATGCACAATGCTCTCAGTGTCTTCAAACCGATGTCAACTTTTCAGAAAAAATGTTGCTGTCCTCAGAAAATCATCCAGAAATAGAGATGCTTATTTTTGCTCATTAGCAGATTGTTATTCTTTTTTAGCTGGCCACATAATATATTTTTATATAAGAAGTGTTTACAGTTTTTTTTATCAAGAACAGAAAATATGAGGGTTGTTGCCACTTCCTAGAAATGAGAACTGCGGATTGCTAAATGGTACTGTGTTGACTTTAAGTGCAGAATTACGTGGTTATGAATGCAAGCAAACTTCTGTCCAGACTATCATATGGTTAGACTATTTCACTCTGAAAAGAGCAGGTAATCCATATGCTTGCTCCTGTCTTCCACCCCTCCCCAATATACCTCTTCTAAGTTATACAATAGTGTTTTGAAAAAGATCTGCGCAGGATATACAGAAGAGTAACTCTGTAGACAGCAACAAAGGTACTGTTGTTTGATACTGGAAGTGGAAAATCAGGCCAAAGAACAAGCAAATTTCTGGAACAGCTATGTCTGAAATATGAAACCTATAATGTTTTTTTCTTGTCTTAAGCTTATAATAGTCAGATGCAGTTCTCAAGCTGTCCTACACACAGTGCAAGTTCAGATTTCTGATACAGTTTGTAATAATCTAGGCAGTTAATTATTTGGATGCCAAACTTGTAATGGCTTGATTTCCAATAATTGCTAATATCCACCTTTTTATGCTTGCACTTTTACAGCTCATAAATAATGGAGATTTGCAATATCTTTCTAAATTCTGATGCATTTATCTATTCCTCATTATCTGCGCCTGAAAAACAGAACAACATACCATGTTCATGTCAATGCCATTGGTGTATGTCCATGCATGCTGGAAGTATTCCTCAAGTCGCTGCCGCAGAGGGTTGGGGATTTGATGAAAGCGTATAAACTCCTTTACTCGCAGCATCTGCATGTGATAGCGTGCAGTTCCTGAGTAGAGTCTCTGGATTATTGCAGATACATTTCCAAAAATGCTAGCATACATTAGAGCTGGATTAAAGAGAAACATATGTTACTTAAGACTTATCGTTGGGTTTTGCAGATAATGCAACGATTCTTTTAATGTACTTTGTATGTAAAACATCTTAGATAAGACTATTAATATTTTCAGAGATGTGGAATTGATTTAACTGAGGTTTTCTATTGACTTGATTGTATTAGCACTAACTCAGCAGATGAAGCTTAAATACTATATCATAATCAGGTTGGTAATATTTCTCTTTGGAGATTTGTAGTCCTCAATTTAATGTTGTAAATTAGGTTAATCTCATTTTATGGACTTCAGTAGAACTAAGAACTAGGAACTAAGATTCACTACAAGTTAAGAACAAAAAGCAGGGTTAAGAAGCTAAACACACATATATAGGATCAGAGTTTAAATTGACAAATAAAATGTAATTTGATTATCCAAAAACTGTTGGGCTATACTTTGCTAAATCCACTCAAAACTCTGCTTCCTACCCTCTATAAGATTTGCTTACAGACAGATACACAATGCAAAACTTCTGACAGTTTGGGTAACAGATTTTGAGTAGTCAAGCAACTTGACTACTTCCTGACACTGCATGAGTCACAACATATTTTGCATATAACATGGCTTTCCCTGGGAATTTGCCCTTCTGGCTGCATTTTTATAATCTTATTAGACTATTAAGTCATTTTCTCAAACACTGAGGAAAAAAAACATAAAAATTAATAAAATAAAACTACTTACAGCCAATCAACATGACACAGATGGAAAAGATTTTCTCTGAGTTGGTGTTTGGAGACACATTTCCAAATCCTACACTTGTCAGACTGCTGAAGGTAAAATAAAGTGCTGTAACATATTTGTCCTTAATGGATGGTCCAGAGCTTGCATCACTCTTATTGTAATGTTTTCCTAATTGTTCTCCTAAAGAATCCAACCAGCCAATCTTGTGAGCCAGGTAAGGTCTTTCTACATTTCCAATGGCATACCAAATGCAAGCAAGCCAGTGTGCAATTAATGCAAATATGCACATAAGAAGCATCAGAACTGCAGCACCATATTCTGAATATCTGTCCAATTTCCTTGCTACCCTCACCAAACGCAGCAGTCTAGCTGTCTTCAGAAGACCTATTAAAGTTGTTGTCTGTAAAAATAAAATAGAAATTGATTTTATCTGTTAGCAAATTATCTGTAGCACATTAGTAGTCAGCATGAATAAACTATTTTGGGGAATCAGCAAAACCAGTAGATTAACCCATTTAAATGTAATCTTCATTGGATTTTCTTTAAACTATCAATTTCAGTATAAAAACAGTGAAGAAAATAAGAAACACACATTTTAAATTAAGATATATTAAAGCTGTCATTATCTGCTCAATAATCTTTCATTTTCAACATTATACTTCATCTGGACTCTTGGATCCACTCTAATGGACTTGAATGATTCATTGGATTCATGATGTTTTGGCATGATGGAGTCAGTAAGTTATTGGAACTACTCATAATCATGTGACTGGCCTTGTAGGTAAAAAGTATTTATGATGCTTCAGCAAAGCTATGTGAAGTGGTAAACGCTCCATCCCTGGCAGTGTTCAAGGCCAGGCTGGACAGAGCCTTGGGTGACATAGTCTAGTGTGAGGCATCCCTGACCATGGCAGGGGGCTTGGAACTAGGTGATCTTAAGGTCCTTTCCAACCTAAACTATTCTATGATTCTTTGATTCTATGATTCTGTGCCTATATTCGATCTTAACTTACAGACTCCTTGTGATACTCTGGCACAAATGTCATAAAAGAGAATCAATATAGCAGAAATGTCTCAAAAAGTATCTTATTCTGTAAATATTCTTCCTGTTTGCAATGGTCCGAACACTCTATACAGGTAAAAGAAGATGAACCACTGTGAACTGAAAATCATGGAAAAGTTACTGTTGCCAGACCTCAGATTAATTTGCTTTTTGCATCTTTCATCCTGGAGCTTGCAGATGTAGTAGTAGAAGCCAATGATAAAAATATTAAACCATTAAAAAACTACAGGTCAGTTATAAACCAGGAATGTATTACAAGATTTTTAGTGCAGACCATACTATGATTCATTGCAGCTTCTTTGAGGCTCTGATATTTTTGAAGTTTTTAATGTAAATTTACGATTTTCATTCAGTGACTTGTAGTTGTGAATTCCTTGTAAAAGAGAGGGAAAGCACTGTAAATACTACCTGACTTTAGAAAGAACTCAGACACCTTTTTATCTCCATTAAATCTGAACATATGTTAAAGTATTCAGTAAATGTCAAGACTGAATAAGTTTTCAATATATTTCTTTTCTTCCTTTTTTTAACATACCTGTATACTACATAACACAACTGGAAAAATTTTCAAGCCTTACAAACCACTCTGATGGCAGTATGTGTCATGTTAAAGCTTTTTTGAAGTGACTATTAGAGTAGTTTTTATGTTTTATTTGATCCTTGCTTTTACCATTTTTCTGAGTAATATCCAAAAGCCTTTGGAACAAAAAAGAGGTTTTCCTGTTTTCATTTGTCAGTGAATAGCTCAATATAGTCATATTTTCTGAGTAAATGCGCGGGAAGGTAACGTAGGGTAACACTGTGTAACACTCCTTGGTTCAACTTAACGACACAGAAAGTAATTTCAGTGTGAATTTCTCATCGCCAAATAAAGGCGGTTGTTTCACTGATTGTGAACTCAACTGTGTGAAAGACAATATTGTTCAAAACTCTATGCCTAGGCTGAACTTCAGCATGTGAATATTGCCATTAGGTATGGGTTTTTCTTTTTGTAAGCCAGATCAGGCTTAAATATTTATGATCCCTTAAAGACGAAAGTGATTGTAAGAAAATCTAGCATTTTTTGTTATTGGGGTGTTGGAATCATTCTATCACAGGTGTAGTCATTTCTCTACAGCATGAAAGTGGCAACATTTTTACAGTGCCCCTTAAACAGATCAGAAGGTAGACTGTGAATCCAAAATATGTCAAAATTGTTCCACCCCATTCGTAAGGTAAGACTTGCTAATATTATGCATCCTCACTGTCAATCCCATGCTTAGATACTGTATCAGTTTGAGCTCTGGGGTATGCAGGAGGTGTATAATCTAAGCAAACTCCATTTCTCCTTGGTGAAATCAGTATGACTGGGAGTAGATATGCTTTAAAGCATCAAGTAACTCATCCTGAGTTTGAATTTTCTTTAACACAGTGGGGAAGCTTTGACTCTAAAATACAGCTGGCAGCAGAGGCAGGCACCTTTCACAAGACCAGGTTGCTCAAAGTCCCATCCAAACTGGCCTTGAACACTTCCAGGGATGGGGCATCCACAGTCTTTCTGGGCTGTGAGGCTGTTCAGTGCCTCACCACCCTTGTAGTAAAGAATTTCTTCCCAATACCTACTCTGAAACTACCCTTTCAGTTTAAAGCCATTCCCACTTGTTATATCACTGCATGCCCTTATAAAAAGCCCCCATCCAGCTTTCTTTTATGCCCCCTTTAAGATCACCTTCAACAGGTCCATGTCCTTCATATACTGGGGACCTCAGAGCTGAACACAGTACTCTAGGTGGGGTCTCATGAGAGCAGGGTAGAGGAGGAGAATCACCTCCCTTGACGAGCTGGTCACACTTCTTTTGATGCATCCCAGGATACGGTTGGCTTTCTGGGTGGCACGCACACATGTTGAGCTACTTGTCAGCCAGCACCCCAAAGTCCTTCTCAGGACTGCTCTCAATCCATTCTGTCAAATGCCTTGCACAAATCCAGGTAGATAATGTTAGTTACTCTTCCTTTATCTACCAGTGCTGTAATCCTATCATAGAAGGCCACCAAACTTGTCAGTCATGATTTGCCCTTACTGAAGCCATGCTGGCTGTCACCGATCAACTCCTTATTTTCCATGTGACTTAGCATAGCTTCCAGGACGATGTGCTCCACGATCTTGCCAGGCACCATGGTGAGACTAACCAGCCTGTAGTTCCCTGAGTCTTCCTTTTTTCCCTTTCTAAAAATAGGTGTTATATTTCCCCCTTTTCCAGTTAGAGGGAATTTCACAGGACTTCCATGACTTCTCAAATGTGATGGAGAGTGGCTTAGTCACTTCATCCACAAATTCCCTCAGAATCTGCAGATGCATCTCATGGGGCTCCATGGACTTGTGTACCTTCAGGTTCCTTACATGTTCTCAAACCTGATCATCTCCTACAGTGGGCAGTTCTTCATTCTCTCAGTCCCTGTCCTTCCCTTCTGTGGCTTGTGCAGTGTGGCTGGAGCTTTTGCCAGGGAAGGCTGAGCCTTCTCCATGTCCTGGGTAACCAGGTCACCCATTTCTTTCCAGAGGGGGCCTGCATTTTTCCTAAGTCTTCTTTTTATCTCTGATGTATGGATAGAAGCTTTTTTTGTTGCCTTTGATGTCCCTGGGCATATTTAGTTTTATCAGGGCTTTAGCTTTCTTAACCTGATCCCTGGCTGCTTGGGCAATCTCTCTGTATACTTCCCAGGCCACCTGACCTTGCTTCCTACACCCTCTGTAGGCTTCCTTTTTGTGTTTGAGTTTGTCTAGTTGCTCTTTGTTCATTCAATACCTTTTGTTTTTTTTCTAGCTATAGTACTGGAGGGAGTCCTGATTAAGAAGTGTATTGGGTTTTTTTAGGCCCCTTTAGTTTGGTCTCAACTGATTCATGCCAGTCTGTTGTTTTCCTTTCCTGATTCCTTACACCTGGGGATTGGAAGCTCTTGTGCTCTATGAGAATAATCCTTAAAGATCTGCCAGCTCTGTTCTGCTGCCTTGTCCCTGGTCTCTGAGGGTAGTTTCCTATGGGGTCCTAATTACTCCTTCAAGAGCTGGAAGTTTGCTTTCCTAAAATTCAGGGCTTTGACTTTATTCTTTGCCTGACCCATATCAGTCAGTACTGCAAGCTGAGGGATAGAACCACATCTTTAGTTGTTTTAGAATAATTATTCAGTTCTACTAATTAGAAGCTTGAGAAAGGTTACAGTTTGTCAATTATTTTCTCTTCCATGGAAACAAATTACTTTCTAAAAATGGGAGTTCATGGATAATACATTTTCTAAGTATATATATGTGGAAATATATATACTAACATATATTTTACAAATTCCTTATATATTACAAGGAGGTATTCTTAATCACCTATTATCTGATTAGACTTCTTTTTTTAATAGTGAGATTATTTTATACCCTCAATTTCTCAAGCCCTGATGCTGAAATGACCACAGCAGCGGCCTATTTTGGTGGACAGCAATTGATTACATCATGATTTGAAAGAAGAGGTCATCAGCCTATTTGATTGCAGAGTGTAATTCAGAAGTTATTATTGTATCAGACTGGGAGAGGGATCTGGTATCACTTAGTTAATTATCTGCATAAATATTATTCTGCCTGAGCAAAAAGCCATTTATGACTCATGACATACTCACTGATGGCCAAACCCTTAGGTTTCCTTTAGGGTTTTTTTCTTAATTTCTTTCTTCATGATATCCATTTTTGCTAATGTATAAATCTATAGTGTCATCTTGGTTTTGTCTCTTTTTTTAAACCAAATAGCCCCCTGATGTGTATGTGTAGCTCAAACTGTCTCTTCCACTGTGCATTAATGTGTATTTGCTTACACAGTATTTCATCTCCAGTTTCTGGGTATTGTAAGGTCCTCAGTTTCTCAACAATTTCCTATTGCCTATATTTTATGTTAAAACCATCGTCAACCATCTACATTTTTTACAGCTTGTAAATAAACCTATTAAGCATGAGCACTATAGCATCAACCATAGTTAACTCTTTTCTCTGTCTTGGAGCAATCTGTAATACATGCCAGAATTTGGTCTTTCGGTCTATGATCCATTACCTAAATAGCCTCTTCTGAGCACTGTGTCATTGTTGAAGATCTTTATGATGTATGGATCATGATTTTGAAAGTGTTAGTACAAACAGCAATTAAACAAAAATATTACAACTAACCAAAACTTCTTATTTACAGCAGGGTACTGGTACTTCAGCTGATATTGATAAAGGACTTCCAAATGGTCTACAAATAACTGCCTGCTCAAGTTGCACTGGTGTTCCTCTTTGCTTCATCTTGAAAAACAAGGGAAGAAAAAGTTGATACTAAATGCTTTTCTGATATTAGCCAGCCACTGAAATAATTTCCAGCCACTGAAATAATTTCCCTAATGCTGCACCATCCAGTGAATTGCTAAACTGAGCGCAGGAAACTATATTAATCTCTTCCTGAGATGTTTTCTGAGCTTGATTTTCAAATATATTTTAATTTCAAAGGGGATAGTGTACTGATTCTATCAGTGAAGATGCAGTCAGGACTATGAGGTTCAATCCCCAATTCTAGAAATGAGGGGCTCTTTTTAGTTTGCTTTAACAGATGTACTGCGTAATGGAGTGAAGATATCAGAACAAAGAGGAGTACTTTGATTTATATGTCTTCATTTTAGCCAAATCCCATTTATTTTCTTGATTTATTCCTATGAATAGAAGACACATTCACTTTTAAATTTTGTTACTGTGCTGGATAGATACATCATGATGTATTTCTTTTTGTTTTCTAAGGCATCACTTTTCCTGTTGGTAGGCTTTTTAGCTCTGTAAAAATGCTTTGATCGCTATTATTTGTAAAAACAGAAAAAGGAATACGCTTTTCAGCATATTTTAGCACAATGTTCTCTCTGACCTCAATTTAATAGATCTATAAATATGATTTTTTTCTTGCTGAAGCTATTACCATCACTTATTTGTATGTTTTATTGCAGTAGGTTCTAGATGAAAGGTAAGAAACTCTGGTTATCTATATATCCGATTTTTACCTTCAGTGTACTTGTCTTTGAAATGAAAAGCTGATCAATACATTAAAAAGCACATTATTTTAAATGCATATATCTAAAAATATCTAGTAAACTTCAGCGGCATTCCACTTGTACATGCATCTCATCTAAGTGTGTGCTTAAAGGATATGAGCCACTGAAACTATAATTTAAAACCTAACCTAAGCTCCTCAGCTGAGCAGAATCATTAAAAATAAACTACAAAAAGAGCAGAAAGTAAAAAGTCTACCCAAGTATCAGGGATGCCACTTAACGTTTACAATGCACGCACAAAAAAAGAGAATGGCTTACTACCAGCCATGATAATTTTGTGTTGAGTCTACTTAAAGTAAAAAAAAAAAATGTAAAATTATATTAATTCCTTATTTTAGAAACTGGAAAGTTAAATGTCTTACTCTGTTATTTTCCTTTGGCTGATAAAGTATGGCTGAAATAGAAGCATTCAGATAGGGCTGCATGTGGTATTTGGATTATTATCTCCTGCCCTTTCCAGACTCGGTTTGGTATCAAGGTGTTTTAAAGTTGGGTGAGCACACATGCAGCTCTCTTTGGAGCTTATGTTGCTTAATAAAAAGACTATTCAGTACAATTGTTCATAGGGGATCTTATTTGAAGAATCTCCAGATAACAAAACAGACCTGTTTCATAAAAAAGATAACCTTATGACTGAAAAAATTCTATTAAATGAAAAATGCTCCATTGTAATAGTTTTATGTTTGCTTCTTCGTGCTAAATTATCAAAAAGGGATCATAAGGGAAATATTATAGTTAGTAATGTCAGAAACAAAACTGTAGTAAGTAGCAGCTTAGAAAAAGTGATTGACATATTCAACACCCTGAATGAGAGGGAGAAGTCATGATGACACGGTGAACTGGTCATAATCTGTATAGTTTTATTGCTGCTTCGGTAAACAAAATAGTTTTCCAGATAGTGAAACTGTTCAATTGCTAGGTTTAGAGGGAATAAAGCATTAATTTACTTGCACCTTCAATATTGAAAAAGTAATTTCATGGTCCAATAATTGCTGTTACAAGTTTCATGTTTCTGTATTTGTGCACTCACCTGTCAGAATGTACTTGTTTACTACTAATCTGTAACATTATCTTATGTTAAAGTTATCCCTTTAACAGCATTTAACACCTGGCACTTTACTCTTAACATCTGTAACAAGGGGAGGTGCAAAAGAATGATGTTCAGGGTCAAATCAAAAGAGCATTCCTTCAATTAACTCTGGAATTGGCCCCTGTTGTAATTCTTGATTTTCCACACTTCCAATCACTGAATGTAATTTTTGGCAGTGATGAGTGCTCAGTGATCAGAAAGGGATGCAGACCACACCTAAGGATGAATGATGTGGTCCAAGTTAGAAGCAGTGTAATTGTCAAAATGTTTGTCTTTCATGTGTCTGTGATATCAAAACCACAGAAAAAAATCTGCAGAAAGACTGAGACCTACTACAGATAATGAATGCAAAGGTGATCAAATTTCCCTTGAATCTCTAAGCTTTTTAGTCATCTTCTGACTAGAAAAGTTCTCTTTTGGGAGACTGTTAATGTTTCCTCTGTCCTTAATGTTACTGTCTCTCTTCTTATTGCATTTCCTTAACAAAATTTATTTCTACTGCATTTTATTACCTACATGTTTCTCCAGATTCCTCATTTACATTGTGAGTTCATTAGGAATGTTACTATGACTGCCAAATTAGACCACATTATTATAATGATTCTTCAGAAGTGCAGGAGACAGGAAAACATTCTCATTATATAAAATTTAGGAAAACGGTTTTAAGAAAAGCATGACTGATGTTCATCCTAATTCTGAAATTTTTAAGGCTAAATATACTCAAAAGACTGTCAAGGTGCATGTAGGTATGTGCCAGTTGTTTTATGCTGACATACAAAGGCATACTTAATGAAGTTTAAATGTAATCTATGAGGGTAGCTAGAGTATGCTCAGAATTCAGATCAGGCTTTTGGGGTGGACATAAAAATATTTGCTGTCACAGCAAATGACTTCAATAAAAATGAATTAATTTTAAAATGAAAACATTTTTATATTTCTGTATCGTGACATGGAGGCTTACAATAAGATCAGTAAATTTTCATGCTAAATCCTCAACTACTGATTAATTTGTAGCTTTTTGCCTTTCTCTTCTCATTTAATGAGATGCACATACTGTCAACAGAACTGTCTGTTTCCCTTATGTCAATATGTACAAAACATTATTTTGAAGAAATGGATTTGTGTCCTTTGAAAAGTGAATGGTTCATATTTTTCTTGGTTTGCTGCTTTTTTTTTTTTTTTAACTGCTGTATTGTAAGCCTCACAAAACCCCCTAATTCTCTACTTGTCAGTTCACTTTTCATCAAAAAATATGTTATAACTTTAGTCCTTCTTAAATTAAATAAAGTCCTTTGGAAGGAGGCAGAACTGGGTCAGACATCCAGAATATAGTGTATGCTTTATATATCTTTGGGCAAGTTTTGGATGCATATTTTGAGTACTTTTTTAACCTGTCATACAGAAAGGGTGAGGACATCTGTCATGTCTGGCAAGGTTAACCCAATATAATCTTTTTTCTTTCTTTTGGTAGTCCAAATTCTTGATAAAATAGACAACAGACAAAGCTTTTTGTTAACTAGTATAGTTTACACTACAACTCCTCTGTTTCACACTGAGTAAGCATCTGACCTAAAGAGTTTGAACAGAGAAAAATATATTTGTTTAATGACAACAAAACACTTCTATGCATTATGCACCATTTTAAAAAAGCAAGCAGCAAATACAAGAAGCAGTTCTTAAATAAAAGCATTTGAACAAATCCTTCATAAATGATATATTTATTTCATTATTTGTAAAATCAGTGTCAAATGCGGTGTAACTGAAAAATACTAGCTGAATCATTCAACTTGCTCTCCTGCCACTGAAAGCTAACATTCTACATTATTCTATTAAGGAAGGTTTAATTTGTTTTAAAAGATGGGGCAAAACTACTAAACAGATATTAACTGGCAAGCAAAAAGTATATTAGGAAATACAGATTATAGTAGTAAAGTAAAAATTTAGGATCTAAGATTTAAGATTTCGTATTCATTTAAGCTTACCTCTTCAGAGCCAGAGCCAAAAATCAGCAGGTCAAAAGGTATTGCAGCAACCATGTCAATTAGGAACCAGCCTTTGAAGTAGTGAATTGCTATTTTTGCTGGGTCACTTACCACTTCTTCATTCTGATTCACATATGTTGTTCTGAAGTTTATCAGAATGTCAATGATAAACATAATATCCACAATTAAGTCTACAACATTCAGTGGGCTGCAAGAATATCCACACTCTCTCCTCTTCCTTTCCTCACTATCATTCAGAAGGAAGGCAGCAGAGTAAGGGGTGAATATGGCGGTGTATATTACCAGCAACAGAATGAGCCAGTCCCAGACGGCTTTGAAAGGACTATAGTGCAATATAGTAAACTTATTGATGCGAGGTGTCTGGAGTTTATATTCTGGTAGAACATCAGCCCCTAAGGATAGAACCTAGAATGAGAAACATACTATGTCAATAATCACACAGTGTTTCTATTTCTACTTTCTGTAAACTTAGCAAATACAGAACAAACTTTAAACATATATTGTTGGTTTGTGGATTAAGCTTCAATTACGTTGTGTTTTGGTAAACTAAACTTCTGTGAAATTCATGATCTCTGCCAGGTTCAATAAATTCATCAACAATTTTACACAGTAGGTTGATTCTTGTTCCCTACCAATAAGTTGCATGTCTGGTCCATAAAATCTGCATAATTAAGCATGTAATCAAATTCATTTATCCACCACATGGCAACCTTGCCAGCCTGTTCATAGCCAGTGAATGACTTTTCTTGCAGTGATGTAGTGGTTTTTCTCCAAAGCGAATCTATTATCATAGGCTTAAATTTGTTACAAGTCTACTCTCACCAGACGATGTTCACGCAGCCAGAAATGAAAGAGTGAAAGAAAGCTCTGTGGGTGTCCTTGCCAGCCATCTCCACTTTGAGTTTGAAACTTTTACACACAGATAAATTTCACTGAGGCTATAGTTTGAATACAGCTAAAGTGTGACGAAGTCTTGCACAGAGTTATTGCCATTTTGCTTCACTTCTACTTTTGTCAGTGCCTAAAGCTGGTTATCATTCCTTTAAAAGTATGGATTTGTTACCTGTTGGCATTATCTAAGTTGGATTTCAATTTTATTTGGAAGGGATTACATTTGTAAGCACTGCTCGATTTGCTGGCTCTAGAAACTGACATGTTTGCTTTGTTGCAAAGAACAAGTATAGTGTGGGCGCCAGATAAAACAAATTTCTTTTGGCTGCTCTTCCAGTCTAACTGAACTCTGACATGAAGGAACAAAACCTTTAAAGATAAGAAGGTAAACTAAGTTTTTGTCCTTATTCAATGCTTGGTGTAGTTATAGAGACTGTCAGGACTGATGTTAATTACTGCTTTCTGCGCTGCAAGTGCTCTCCAGATCCTATGGGACCCAGATTACCACTTCATTTTATACAGACCAATGAACATCACATGGTGACTACCTTCAGTTACTAGCTATTTGGGCAAGTGATATATTCAAGAAATCTTATACCCATTTTCCACCGTTACTTCTGTTTACTCCTTATCCCCCTGCTAATTAAAAACAAAGTAATTACAAAGAATTATTATACTGAAATGAAATGATGACTGGAAGAACAAATATGTTGTCAGCAACATTGCCTGCTTTTATTTGCTTTTTGTTTATCAGTAAATAGTTTGGGATTTGAGATTTCAGTTTGTTCAAGATTGAGGAATTTCATACTCCTCAAACATAACTGTATAAGATTATAAGGGTCAGCACACTCCTTTCTGTTTACCTTTCCAAAAGCAAGTGTTGTATAAACCTTAGATTCTATCCTTAATAATCTAAATGGCACTTCTTATTCAGTGAAGTTCTACTCTTAAAATGTTGTGAGAACACCAGGGTTAATAACCACTCTTCTCTTTTGAACTGTGAAGAAAAGAACTATTAAGCCATCCAAAAGATTTTATGGTACCTTCAAGCAGCCATTAAGCACCATGATGAGGTGATGACAGAGGCTGTTCATCTATTTTTTATATTGTAACTACGAGTAGCACTTCACTAACGGTGCTAGCTATTTTTCTGTGCATTAAACACACTAGCTGAGAGCAAGCTGAAGCATAGGCATTGCTTAGTCTTTTAAGCAGTCTTAATACTTTTAGATCCGCACCTGGTGAGTTCACAAGAATGTTTTCCTAGTATTTGAGAGCAGTGTGAATATATATGGCAAGGGAACTGCCATTTATAAAATTTATAGCAGTGTTCTCTTTCAGGATTTTCAGACAATGAAGAAATGGATTAGACAACAAGAACAATAAGGCTTACTTCACATTTCTTGCATTTGCTTGAAAATTTCAGCCAGTATACTTCACTTCAGAGCAACACTTAATGTAAATTAGACTTATTCCCCTGAAATATGGCTCCTTTTCTCATTTTAGTCACATCTATTCTTAGGTTGGTTTAGGCTGAGCTAGGTGAAACTGAAGAGCAAAACAAAACAACAAAACAAACCAATAGGGCAAAATTTGGGAACAGCAGCATAAAAGTTGTAATAGCAGAAATGGATCTAACTTTTCCATGCTATCTTTTTAGATATACACAAAAGCAGAGGCTGACTGATGGCTGTGAGTTTTATATTTATAATGTGATATAGAACTTTACATTTTGCATTGTTTGCTCCCATGCAGTGAGAAGTGAAAATGAACGCTCATTATGTAACTATTTTTATTTGCTAGATCAAGAGAAAGAATATGAGACTTTGTTTCTTGAATAAAAATCACAGTTGCACATCCATAAAAATGCGAAAACACATTATTGGTTTTCATGTTGGCAGTTTCAATGAAAACTTATTGAATATGAGGTTTCAGTGTTCATGGAATCTATCCTTTTGCTTTGTGTAACGTACTTGCAAGGCTCGGGTACTGATGTTGGCTACTCTTGGCCACCATGGCTAGATGGAAGACTTCAAGTGTACTTAGTGGTCTAGTCAAAAGACCTTTACCATTGCCACTTGCCTAAAATAAATGTTGACAAACTTACTGCTAGTGACATTTTATTAACTTATCCCTTCTGGACAGTGAAATTTTCCTTATAGTTTGGATTGTAAGACACATGACGACTAAAGTATTGCAATATTAAAACGTCTCTGAACCTTGGTACATGATATGATAAGAAAGCCAAACTTCCTTTTATTTTACTAAAGAGAAGACTATAATGAGAAGTGGCAAAAACCATACTAGCTCCAATGGGTTTTCTCTTAAAAAAAGTTGAGGGGTATTCCACCTTCACAAAATACTATCTCACATTGGTTTTGCTGGTGAGATCCGGAAAGTATTTATAACTGGTGTGTTTTACAAGCAGTATTAGGTGATAAGATTTATTCTATTTATAGTGAGAAAAATTCAAAGTTAAAGAAACTGCGTGTGTTTTGCCTTTGAGTAAAGATCTAAAATTCAACTTTTCCTGTGTGTTCCTGTTATCCCATTCACTGTATTACTGCTGCAAGTTAGAAGACTTTTCATTCAAACCCCTTTTTGCTAGAAGTCTTGCTTTAGGTGCTTCACTCAGAGAGGGCTGGTGAACATCTTTTGCTCTTTCTAGGTTCATGTGTGCACTTTCTAAGATCACAAGTTCAAGGTAGTATTTATTATAGAAGGGCTGCAACCAGATACATAGAAAAATATGCAGTGAGATCAAAGTAAATGTGACAGATTCTCACAGTTTTAGGCAGATTTATCTTTCTGAAGTATTTGGTAGCTCTTAGTTTCTCAAAGATACTTCTTCCCTGTACAATTTCTTTTGTAAAACAGAATATGTAGGCAAAACGCAAGGCAAGATGTTGGGTGATCTGGTCTCTGACGCTGAATTTCTTAGTGATCTTAGGCAAGGTGACATTTAACCTCTAAATTCTGGCAAGGATAATATTTACTTACTAAACTGAAAGCATCTTCCAAAGAATAATGAATGGAAAGCATCAATAGAAGCCATTATACAACAGTTACCATAAATTATCAACATTCTTACTCCTCTAAACTTAGTTGATTATTTTTATTTCTAAGATTAATTCACACAAGTGTTTGTCCTCTTAGCATTTAATTTTGAATTTTTAACCTAATGGGGACACCAGGTTTATTTTATTTCCAGTTTATTTTTATTTCCTGCATGAAAACACTTTGTTTTCATTATCTATTATGCAAACTGTACAGTTTCAAGAGACTCTGAGACCCATACTGATATCCATCACTTGCATATTCATAAGTTTTGTTCTGAGGCATTTTCAATTTAAATTTGTTAAGGAATGCAAATGCATACAGTAAAAACCAAAGAACTAAAACCAAAGAAACATAATAGTGCATTAATAAATCATAAATGAAATAAATTATAAGCCATCTGTTATGAATATCACCACAAACTGTTAAAGACATACTTCTGTCAAACCACTGCAAGGATTTACATGATGGTTTCCTAGCTATTACTATTTCCTAGCACTGCATGAGAGCCAAGTGTGGGGTTAGGGTTATTGTATGATGTACCATGGCTCTTGAAGCAACTGTAGAGCTATGCAAAGCACATGAACATGGAGAACAACCAAGAAAGCATGCCTGATGCTTTCAAGATGTACTGAAATTATTCTGTGAGGATATTGTGACTGCATGGACTACACGCTATAAGCAAATTATTCAGAAAGCATTGGAGCTTTTGCACTTTCACTAGGTATTCACAATATTTTTGTCCTGTGCATTTCCAAACAGACAGCAGATACATGGTTAATGTATGCTCACACAAATGATATGTAGCATTTTTACCATGTAGGTAAGACCTTTTATCAGCAGCAGAGCTAATGCACATTTGGAAAATTTGAAGAAAGAGCAATGTTTAGAGGTGACAAAATGAGAGGTATATGGAGTGGAGGGAAACCCAGCGTTTGTAAGGCAGATGGATACTGAGTATATCTATGAAAAAGATGGATGCGGAAGTTTGATGGGTGCAATGCTTAATAAATTAGCTTTTCAGAAAGGTACTTTCCTATGTCTCATGACAAAGTGTGTTTCCTATGAACTATATAAATGATGTAGTTATAAACAGTACTAAATACTGTTTTGTCACTTCTGCTTTAGTTACAGATAAATTAAAGCTTTCATTAACAAGGTTAGCTCTTGCATAGCAACTTTCATTTTAAGAGAATTTTGTAAATATATAATAAAACTCGAACTATAAATATAGTACCAAATTACTTGGGGAATTTAAAATAAACATTTATCTCAACCACAAAACATCTTGCATAAAACTATGTAAGATGCTACCAGTGCACTCATTGGAATACAGTGTTAAAAAGATTTATATCTAGGAAGTACTGTGTGACATGAAAAAATATTATTTTGCCAATATCTTGCTGGGCTCAGTCCAACGTTAGGTGCACAGTCCTGACAGATGAATGGATGATCAC